TGGTGCACAAATTTGGTAATCAGTATTGAAAGGTCGTGAGCAATAAAACATTTATTAAGAAATTTTATAATCATTTTTACAGAAGTAAAATATTAAAATATCAACACTTTTATAAACATAGTAACTAGTGTAATTATTTAGTGACAGTAAATTTGGGCGGCTGTTGGATTTCTTACTTCACTAGGATGGAGAGTTTTTATTACTTTCAATTAAGTAACCACCTCGCCTAGTCGTTAGTGCACGTAATTGAAAATTAAATTAAAGTGCCTTTTTATTATGTTTATTTAAAAGTTGTTAAAAGTAGGTATATTAAACTAAAAACAATGAAGTATTATTTAATTTTTATAAAATCCATTATACTACATACAAATTACTATAAATATATATTCCACAAATGTTTTACTAAGAGGTAACGTGGAATTAAAAGTGTAACAATGTTCAAAGTAGTTATTAAAAAATCAAACATAATGTGATGAAAAATATTTATACGTAATAAAAATTCAATTCACCTTTGTTATTTGTAGAAATGTCAATTTTGTTTAACAGCGTTCACATATCCTGCGATAGTCAAATAGCGTTACATTGAGTAACTTTGTGAACTTGCGGTTGCCTGGATCTGGCTACCTCATTAAACGCAGGTTGAGCGCACGATGTCCCAATTTCGTGCGAGGACGGCGTTATGATGCGTTAGTATCTCTGAACTACAAATTACGTTCACCACATGAATATATTGAAGTAACTTTGAGATTAAAACCAGAATATTTGTTACTGTCAGAGTATCCACTAACTGTACAATCAGCAACATTAATGTAACACTAACAAAACTTTAGGAATCTGTTAGAGTCTATGGTTTTGGAATTTATTTAACTCCAAAAATACGTTGTTTTGTATTCGGCAACACGGATACGCGCAAGCATATTATAAACCCCAAGGCCTATATTAATTTCCGTAGTTTTATACATATTTATGCAGCTACCTGTACCTTCTTCTTAATGTAGCCAAGTGTACTTTCTACATAATGTTTTTTTATCGTGAAATTAATAACTTCATACCATTTCAATCTAAAATTATTAAAACTAGATTTTAATGGGAATATGATAGTCTAAATTTCTTTGGAGACAAAGTACAAATTTACGCATAAAATAAATTGGATTGCTTTTCGGTAAAAATTTAATTAGATAATTGTTAAAAGAATGCTTCATGTTTGTTGGGTTGACGTATGAATAATAAAGGTAAGTCACGCGAAATCTCCTGCACACATTTTTAAACATATTTCATAACATTTGTACGCTCCATTAATTAAACTGCAACTTTTACTACCGTCGTATATTATTCCGGAAACATATTACAATTAACTAGTTGTTCTCCGCGTCTTCGTCCTCATGAAATTGACAAAAAAAATATTAATGTCATACAGAGTTCTACAATCAATTGAAATTTATACACTAGCTGTTGCCCGCGACTTCGCTTTTGGGAAACTAAAAATATAACCTATGTTACTCACTGATAACGTAGCTTTCTAATGGAGAAAGAAATTTTTTTAAATCGGCTCAGTAATTTTTGAGTTATTTGAATACATACAAAATCTTTCCTCTTTATAACATTAGTATGGATTTACAAAACTTTTTCAATTTTTTTTAAAAAATAAGTATACACATATTTAGAATAACATTTATTTATGTTCAGAACCATGCGAACGAATAGGTGTCCACATTTTTGTTACTAATGGCGTTTACAAGTTTTTGAACCTTTATAAACGTCTACATGTTTATGCAGCTGACTGTACATTCGTCCATGCAATGGTAGTTTATTTCGTTACTTTAACATAACTTTTTCGATTACTATGCAAAATCTACATGTGTTTTTTTAACTAACGATGCACTTATAAATCATTAATTGGCCACTAAGTATGGTCTTTGTTAGCTGATAATAGTAACCTTTAAATAAAAAAAATTAAAATATTGATCAATATAGAAAAGTAGGATCGTGGAATAAAGTCCGATCACGTGCACCGCAGCTCGGCAGTGCGGGAGGGTGCTCCCACACAAACCCGCTGACCGATTTGAAATCTTCACGTGAGATGGATTTTGAATGAATCGATTAAAAGTTTCATTGTTCGCTTTATTAGCATGTATTGATGCATTACTAAATTCAAGTGTGAGAATACGTAGTTGTTACCTAACTGTCTTCAAACCACCTTGAGTATGCATTAAATTTCACATAGACCATGAAAATCGAGCGTCGTTTGTCTTATACAGTATTTAAGAGTCTGTAAATCCTTCATACTTACTGTAATACTTTCATACTAATATTATTAATGCGAAAGTTTAGATGGATTCATGGGTGGATGGAAGGATGTTTGTTAGAGTTTACAGCCTAAACGGCTAATCGGATCTCGATGAAATTTGGCATAGATATAGAGGATAGTATGGAAGAACACATAGGCTACTCACTTTCTTTTTAATTCGTCGAGTCGCGGGCTAAAGCTAGTAATATTATAAATGCGAAAGTTTGGATGGATGGATGGATGTTTCTTAGAGTTTGTAGCCTAAACGGCTGAACGGAGAATAGTCTGGAAAACACATAGGCTGCTTTTGTTTTTTCTTTATTCCACGCAGACGGAGTCACGGGCGAAAGCTTGCATTAAAACAAATCAAATTATTAAATTAACCACAACACGTATTGTAGAAAGCAAAATGTTAAATTACAATCAATACCTTTATACATAGACACAAAAAATATAAACAAAGGTAAATCCTATTTTGGTATTTCAATAGAAAATATAGTTGTAAAATGTTTAACATTATGGTTACATAATCACAATATCTTGATATGGCGTAATAAAAAAAATATGTAATTATCGGTGAGTAGATATTCTTACAAGGTTTTTAGGACGTGAATCAAAAGTATCGCGTGATCGAAGTCGTTTCTAAGCCGGCACATTCGATATGGTAACGTACATGCAAGCCGTTGTATACAATTCATGCCTTCTAATAAGCACCTACAGCAAACCGCTCGAAATATTATCAAAATATCGTATTTACAAAACGTTTCTCGATATATTTACCTTAATTTTTGGTATCAAAAGATCTAAAAATTATTTTAGTGTTATAATAAATAAAAAAAAACAAGGAATGGTACACTTTATGAATGGAAAGGTCGGGAGGAGAATGGTAATAATTCATATATCAATAAAATCCTTCATTTATTCTGTTCCTAGAAGAGGTTTAGGACCATCTCGGCTCAGTCCAAGACTTCTTACAGATCTTACAGAATGGTGGTTTAGGCGTCGGCTACGTGGTACATAAAAATAGATACTTCAAATATCTGTTTTAAACTTTAATAAGTTAAACAGACACATCGCCACATTTATTGTAATGGAAAGTATTTGTGTGAGCCACGACTCACGTGTCGTCGAATATTTCACGGGCCGCCGCCTCTTCCGTCGGATACGACACAAATTATCATAATGCACGCCTCGTCTCGCCGATTCCAACGTTTCACGCAATAACGAATACAGAAGTAACACGATTTACGTATAAGGCATATTGAATGACGCGCCTCAAACGTATTTAAAGACTTCGCTGAAAATTTCAATAGAATACTTTATTGTAACCGGATTACGTCGAGTCGTTTGACGTTTGTAATGCGAATACGTTTCGTTTCAAAAATATTTAATAGTTAATAAGTTTACTGGAAAGGAAACACTATATTAATTTTGAAACATACCTTTTTAGTGTTAGTTATAATCGAACAGCCTTACAAATAATCGCAGTATAAACTGAGTGTAAACAAAATATTAGTAGATAATTTACTTATAATCAAGTTAAACTTTATACCGTGTTTATTTTATAAGGCTATAAAATTGTAATATACGAGTATTTTATTTACCAATGTAGAAGCTTGCATTTTTTTATAACAAAAGAAAGCATATGTTTTTAATCTGAAATTCGTGTACATGACCTTTTTGCTGTAATTCCGTGGCTTATAAGTTAAATAAAAAAAATGTTTCATCTCGTACAAGTAACATTTGAAAAGATTGATATAAAATATTTACAAAGAGCAAACGTCGAGCTCCAATTAAATACTCCGAGATAAATGTTGGCTTCAGTAAGGTCACGAAAATGAGGCACATATTTTTTTGTTAACTCTGTGGAGGCTTGCATATGATAAATTCAAAAGTATACTACTACTGTCCATACAGTGACCACAGAGTAGTAAATTTATAAGCTGGTATACTGTTTGAAGATTTATCCATAATTTCATTGCGATTTTAATATTTAATTAACGACATTTCAACTGGCATTTTAATGATTCGCTCCTGTAATGTTTTAATATATTTTGATACAATTGTTTATAGTATTTTTTAAGTGTTTATTTTTATTAATGATTTAGAACAATATTTGAAAGATTCATTACGGAAAGGGTATCAAAATATGGAACCCAAGTCTATTTATTTTGGAGAGCTAACTCCACGGGCGCTTTCATTAACTTACTTTCATAATGAATAAATGTATTACGCCAGAAATTCTTCCCTTCATTTTTCTTCTTTCTTATTTTATCAAATTTGAAAAATCATTCGAGCGTAACTTTGTTTACCGAGAGCTAACAACAGGTTTTTTTCTTACGCAATGAAAATATTTAATTTTGTCTGTATAAATGATTGTTTAATTTTTAGACTTTTAAGATTTATCATTGTTTTCATAATTTGCATAACTAAGTCCTGCTTTTTTCGTTTGTCAGTTTTTGTACAGTTACTGCAGAATATGTATAGCTTTTGCCGGCAATTTCGTTTGCACAGAATTTAATTAAATCTAGTAACAGATAAGAATGTTACAAATTAACAAGTCTGAAAGAATAAATTATAGAATTAATGAATGAGTGAGTGCCTGAATGAATAAAATCCATTTAAGAAAGATCTTATCGCTCTTTAGGTCTTATGTATTGAGTGAAAGACCATCTCCTTTTCTTTACAATTAAACATGTTATTTCTTACCCAGTGTCTACTGTTGACGTGGACGCAGTTCTCGGCCGTACAGCCTCGCTGCCGTGTGACGTCACGCCTGACACAAATGAAGATCGCGTGTACATGGTGCTATGGTTCAGGAAAAGTGGCGGCAAACCAATATACAGGTATACAAACCAATATACAATCATAATTTCCAAGGGCTTAGCCTACATTAAAGTAGAGGCGATTAGACTTTGGTTATGTTGACCTCGTGGGGATAAGTTCGGTTTACACTTCTTTGAATTTTTTCGGAGATATGTTGGTCTTTGACAGTTACTTTAAGTGAGAAAGCATCATTATAATGTTTATTTAATTAATACTACTAAGACAGGCGTAATGAACCGTTCGCGTTGCCTTAAACGGATGAACGGAAGCCGAGTCGAGTCGATCCAATTAGCTTTATAAAGTACACGTACAAGAAAATACACTTAAGACATCCACGCAGGTCGTTACCGCCGTATCACCCCTGACGCTCGCCGCTCGCCGCTATGACCGGAAATGTTTTTAAAAGTTTCTCTATTCAAACACGTATTTCCTTAATTATTTAACATGATTTTCTTAAAACCGTATAGCTAAGTAAAAAAAAACATTATGTCTTATTGATTTTCTCGTCTTACGACATCTAGAGTCGAGATGGTATCATGTCTATAAACTTGCATTCCAACAGTGGTAATGCCCGCTTTAACATCTTAGCACGAATGGGCTAGCTCGCCCGGTCTAGTACCACGACCACACAGAAGACAGGCGTGAAATGGAAGCATTTCCGTGTTTCGTCTGATGAGTGTGGTGCCGGAGGCCTAATTTAAGTCCCTTTCTCTTTACCACCCTTTATTTTTGGTTCCCCTTTCCATCCTCTTCTTATAAGGAGAGGATGGAAAGGGGAAGTGGATTTGATGGTGGAGGAGATGCATAGGAAGGGGCATTATCCTCTTTATGTGCGTCTCCTCCTCCGTCGGATAAGGGTAGGTAACGTATCTGCGATCGCGGATGTCTATGGGCAGCGGTCGCTTCGCCATTTTGGCGGATTCAGGTGGCCGCTTGCTCGTTTGCCACCTTATGTTATAAAAAAAAAGATATGTATAACTAGGAGGACTATGAATTGAAAAAAATATAGCCTATGTTACTCACAGATAAATTACCTTTCTAACGGTGAAAGAATTTTTAAAATCGGTCCAGTAGTCATTAAGTTATTTTAATACAAAAATATAAATGTTTCTATTTTTATATTATTAGTATAGATAAAAGTTTTCCTATCAGTAAGACAAAACGATGTCGTGAAGAGCCTCTGACATATTATTGTAAAGTAATTAAACTTTCGATAGATTTTCGTAAGATGTTTTTCTTATCGAATATAATTTAGTCGTTTCACAAATAAAGCATTGATTACGTAATTTTTTTTTTTTTTTTATAATACGAGGTGGCAAACGAGCAAGCGGCCACCTGAATCCACCGAAATGGAAAGCGACCGCTGCCCATAAACATCCACTATTGTAGATGCGTTGCCTACCCTAATTGACGGAGGAGGAGACGCACATAAAGAGGACATTTCCCCTTCCTATGCATCTCCTTCATCGTCCAATCCACTTTTTCCTCCCATCCTTTCCTCTTAAGAAAAGGGTGGAAAGGAAAAGGGACTAAAATTAGGCCTCCGGCACCACACTCATCAGACGAAACGCGGAGTTGCTTCCACTTCACGCCTGTTTTCTGTATGGTCGTGGTATTATACCGGGCGAGCCGGCCCATTCGTGCAAAGATGTTAAAGCGGGCTCTACCACTGTTAAATTGCAATGATGAGTATCTGGATAGCAATAACGACACGGTAGCAAATGTTTTCGGGATAATTCCCTCGTAAAAAGCATACTTAAATTGTTACTTTTACCTGGAAACAGCGGGGTGTACAATAAAATCATCTTTGTGAAAGCTTCTTGCTTTATAAATTAGAATGGAGGTTGGGAAATTGAGAAAACGTAGTCAGTCCGGAAATTGAAAAACTTCAGATTTTTAGAAAGTATTTTCTTTTTGTCCAGATAATAAATTTATGAATGTACTATGTGACAATTTACGCGTTTTATAAAAAAAAAGAAATAAGGCCGTTATTGGATTGCCCTTAATAGAATTTCTCATTTAACTTTATTTTTATGGTGTTTCCAATTTCGTTTCGTAAACATATTTATTAAGGACACATTTCTTGAATATCCAATATCATAATTAGATAATTATACCAGGCGCTCAAATATTTATAATCCATGAAACTTGTACCCTGTTTTATTATTTTTATTTTGTACAAAACACGTGCACTAATAATTTTCCTTCTTGATTATTGAAATGTTCCAGCTTTGACGTTAGAGGGCGTTCATTCAGCAAAGCGTTGCAGTGGTCGGATCCGGGTGCTTTCGGGCCGAGGGCGTACTTCGCGACGATAGCAAAGCCTGCCTCGTTAACACTCAGCTCAGTACAACTCGATGATGAGGGCGTATACAGATGTCGCGTCGATTTCAAGAATTCACCAACGAGGAATTTTCAGATTCGTCTCATCGTCATAGGTAAGTAAAGTAACTTATAAGCTGTTTAGTAATAAAAAAATATTGTTACTAAGATGCAATCATTACAAATATTACAAGATATTGAGTTTTTGGAGTATGTACTTTTCTCGGCAGAAAGACATTTCCGTGCATTGCATAGGTACCAATAATGATAGGTTAGTCAATAATTTCATAACAATTAGAGCGTGTGCACACCTGAAACTAAACTATCGCAGAACTGTTTAGTCTCGCATTGAATCTTATGAGCTTATATAGATGCGCAGACTACTCGATTTTTAGTTGTGCAACTAAACAGTTGAATTGCTTACGAGACAATCGAAACACAACTGTTGTGTAGTATTTTTAATTTGTGTAATTAATTGAAAAAAATCAATATGATATGAATTCTACGAAGTAAATTATAACTCACTACATTTAGGTTTAATAAAAATGTCTTGCGGCGGGGAATGGCAATCAATTTAGTTATGAATGAACTAAGGAACGATCGCGGCCGGCGCGGCAGGGTAATGACATCTCGTGGACGTTTTAATTATAGTCTGTCGGACGATGTCGGCCCGGGATTCCAACATCGTGCAGACTAAAAAAACGTTACCCCACAAACGTTGATAAAATCTGCAAAAGACGGTTGAAAAGATCAGATGAATTTTTATTCGAAATTATTGAAATTATAAGATTATTTTTCGCCATTTTTTATATTTAATTGTGAGGTGTTGAGATAAAAGTTATTAAAATCCTTAAATTAGTAACGATATTTTAATTAGAACACGTTATAATTCTTGTGAGAGAAACTCCAGTTCTTTTACTTTTTTAAGAAAGCGACAGACACAAGCGAATGACATCTCATTTTCTATTACACGACGGGTACGCAAATTTCTTTCACACAGAACAAAGCGTTTAGAGTAAGCCTACATGGCATATATGCAACTCAATTGAAATCCATTAGGCTTCTCGAGCCGGGAGGTAATTTGCAAGAAATCTTTTGTTATCAAAGGCTTTCTCACCACAAAGAGCGCTTTCAATTTCAAAAGCATTCATAATAATATAAAAAACGGGTATATTTACGTGATTCCCACTTTTACCTTAAAGAAAATAATCTAAGATGATTAATCTTAAGAAAAACAAGTATTCATGTTCAATAAAGATAGCAACAGCAGACCTCAACCGTTCTTCAACTTTTATAGAAGATACAAAAAGAACGATCATCTTATTATTTATTTTTTATTTATAAAATAAAAAGACTTGAAATAGAATAAAATATACCTGTCATAATAAAAACGTGCTAATAAACGTCTTGCTAACCATGAATTCGAATACATAAGAGAGTACTTACACCTTTCACTAAACTATCGCACAACTGTGCGATTGTCGATTGTTTTGCAGCTAAGGTTATTTACGTGACAACTAAATATCAAGTAGTGTACGCACCTCCATATAAACTCATAAGAATCAAAGCGCGACTAAACAGTTATGCGATAGATTCAGGTGTTCGCACGGTTTAAGTGTTTAAACTTGTTCAAACAATGTTTTCTTTATTACGGTAATTTCTCAGCGAAATCATATTTGAAAGAAACACGTTTACTGCGGCAGGCAAAATCATAATTCTTCATCTGGTGCGGCGGCGGGCCAAAATGAGCCTCCAATGATATTTCCGCCAGTGCTTGGCAGGTCTTTCTAGATTCACAAGCACTAGAATAAATTAAATTGCTATTACTTTGTAAAAATATATTGTATACATTTTATGTAGTTTAATGTTTACACTTGAGATAATCGTTTCGTAATAGCGAGAGGGACATAGCTTTATTCGTCCACACCAGACTAAGTACCGCGGCAGGCCGATATCGGCCTGTTACGCAGTGAACGTGTTAATTAGATATTTAAACACTAAAACATCAGATATTTAAGTGTGACAAATGTTTTAGTGCCTCCACATCAGATGCTGTTGTACGACAAATCTGGCGCAGACGTATCAGGTGTTGTGGGTCCTTTAGAAGAGGGTGTCGCGCTTGTTTTGGTTTGCGAAGTACGCGGTGGTAAGTAACGTGTATGGATAATTTTATTTCTCTCTTTTTTATGTTTGTTAAGCTAGCGCTTGACCACGATCCTTGAAGTCGAAAGATGGTACGCGCAAGCTTTATAAGTAGCTGTTTATTATTGAATACTATTTTAATTTATGTACACAAAAAAAATTGCAAACAAAAATCTCGCCTAACTGCACAGCAGTTTGTTGGCGACAAACACTCATTATTTCTATATTAATTATATATAGCAACTGATTATAGCAGAAAAATAAGGACTTAATCACATGTCGTATACATTTTTAGTAAATCGCAATGTTACTATGTGTGAAAAATTATTATCCTAGTTTTATAAAATACTAATATTTTATTGTATCTATGTATTTATTTATATACTTCATGGTACATTTTCATATTTATAGTTTTCTATCACGTTCAATTTTATTTTTTATCGGCTCATTTCTTTTGTAGTTACATTGGAGGAGATATTCCATACGAATGGGTTTATTGAAAAGTCCGCAGTATAACCGGCATGCTGGCAGTACGCCAGTGATGCCGCACGGATTATCTACCCGTGCCCTCTCTATTGTTATGATGTAACTACCACTTGCCTCGAAAAATTATAAACCTATAGTGGAAGATAACCTAAAGCCTAACATATACTCATTTCTAACTGTCAAACTGCTTCGTTAAATTGGTAGTGAAAACAGACAGTTGTAAGCGTATGTACCGCGCATAACATAACATGTCCTTACTTCATCTTTTAACTCGAAAATTATAATCGCTCTAACCTTCTATAAAATATAGATATAATAGTTATCTGTGTCCAATCCAGAACTTTAATTTCCTATCCATTTCGTGGAAATGTCATTTCGGGTTCAAAGTTCAATTAATTCGAAATTTTGTTACCTATGGTATAATCACTTATTATGTTGATAGTATGCTGTGTGATGGAAGCAAATTGAAATTCTTCGAACTCATTTTAATATACTTTTAAACTCTTATTTAATTTATTTCAGTAAATTTATGTTTTATTTATTAAATTCGACAATCATTGCTCGATCTGTCTGAAATTTAACTAGTAATAAATGTTTAGGTCGACCTGAACCTACCGTTTCTTGGCTAGTAAATGGAACCATAGAACCTAAATACATAGGAGTGAAGACGGACACACACGTTGTTGTCAACCGTTTGGAAATACAAAAACTACAAAGAGATGACTTAAACACAACTTTTAAATGCAGAGCAACGAATACGCATCTCGTACCTCCTCAAGAGAAAACTGTACGACTTGAAATGATTTGTAAGTAATTTTTTATTATTTTAGATACACAACTAGTGGAGTAAATACTTTTTTAATAACTTTAATGAGTTCAAAATCCCAGCCAAATTTCAAACGTTACACTTCTATTCTTAAATGACAAACAAAACTCAATATAATAAATAAACCAAAGGCGTCGTTACTTAAAACTTTGTTGTATAACAACCAACTTTTTTTTATATAATATAAGGTGGCAAACAAGCAAGCGGCCACCTAAATCCACCGATATGGAAAGCGACCGCTGCCCATAAACATCCGCAATTGCAGATGCGTTGCCTACTCTTAATTGACGGAGGAGGAGACGCACATAAAGACGAAATTTCCCCTTCCTATGCGTCTCCTCCACCGTCAAATCCACTTTTCCTTCCCATCCTTTCCTCTTAAGAAAAGGGTGGAAAGGGCAAGGGCAAGGGGGACAAAATTAGACGAAACGTGGAATTGCTTTCACTTCACGCCTGTTTTCTGTGTGGTCGTGGTATTGCACCGGGCAAGCCGGCCCATTGTGCGAAGATGTTAAAGCGGGCTCTACTACTGTTAAATTCATTATAATATAGTGGTATATATTTATAGATATAAAATAAATACTTTAATAGCAGCTTTCAACTAAGAAATTTCAGTAAATAGGCCTCCGCAATACCTTTTAAGCGGTAATTTTATTTACTAAGAGTTTGCTTACTTAAAAGGATCGTAGAAAGTCTTAATCCTATTTATTTGACATCTACTTACGAGAGAAATGTAGATTGCGTTTCACTTTAATTTCAGATGTTGTGGCTTAGCTTGCTTAATTATTCTAATTTATTCCGAATAATGGGTACACATTGGGATAAGGAATGTGTTAATTAAAAAATATACATTTAATTAAAATCTTAACGAAAAACTGTTTTAATGAACACCTCAACTTTTGTGTAACTTTTTTTTTATAATAAACGTACCAATTAAACAAATGAATAAAACAAATGAAGTTCGAACTCACTTCTTTATTCCTTAACCATAAAGGTTATATGGTCATTTCTAACTAAGAAATCGAATCGTTTGTACTGTTTGTAGCGAGCTTTTTACTTATAATTGATCAATTAAATGTCATGTTAATTTCAGTTTTTAAATTGCAATATATTTTCAGTGTTGCCCGTCTCTGTATCACTGATAGACAGGCCGCAGCAACTGCTTGCGGGATCTGTTACCACGTTACGATGTGTCGCTAAAGGCAGTCGGCCACCAGCTCAAATAACTTGGTATAAAGATAACAGAAGCTTTGGCATGGATAAGGTATGTTACTATCCGTTATCTAAAACTAATTGTTAAGGGTAGAACTAGATTAAAATTGAATTGAATTAAAAGGAAGGTGAAGGGAATTTAAATATTGTTCAAAATAGTTATATCTTCTTTTGTTTCAATTAGATAAGTGAACATTTCAACGAGACTTGGTCCATCAGTACATTGATAATGAAACCAGCGCCTGTAGATAACGGAGTTACAATCAAATGTGGGGCTGTCAATCCATCGTTGCCTGGCAAAGAAATCGATGATCAGTTTCAACTCAACGTTGTATGTGAGTATTGCCGCCAAGAATATAATACAAATTGACGCACTAATAGCCTAATGGTTTAGAGCGCGCACACCTTTTCTCAATTGTTTAGTTACTTTTATTCCTATGAGCTAATACCTTAGTTGTGCAATTAACAGTTGAATTGGCCGTGAAACAATCGACAATCGCAATAGTTGTGCGATAGTTTAGTAAAAGGTACAGAATATAGATCGACCGGTTCGATCATAGCTATACCGAACCTTTAAAATCAATGGTCCGTATACGCATATTGGAGTTTTCGAGTGAAAATTTTTCCCTAACTCTAGTCAAGTGCTTAATAATATCTGGTAATGTTAATTAAAATGTTTATTGTGAATCTTCAATAATTGTTTTTCGTTCATTAGACAGTCCGCTGGTTACACTGACGTTAGGCAGCACACTAAACCCGCACGATATAAAGGAAGGGGACGATGTGTATTTCGAATGTAATGTCAGATCAAATCCTAGAGAACATCGGATATCATGGTACCATAATGTAAGTACGTTCTTAACTACAACATACGATTCTAAAATCCACAACAATCCGTTGTCTTCGCAAAATAATTGTATATTTTTCGTTATCGCGCTTTACTATTATTGCAGTTTTTTTTAATCATTGAAGACATTAACAAACATTTTTAAGTCTGAAGTACAAATAAATTTAGATTTAATAATTTAGACAACATACCTTAAACACGAGTAGTACGCTTTACTATTAACTAGTAGTTACACGCGACTTCGTCCTCGTAAAATTAAATAAAATAAAAAGATATAGCCTATGTTACTCAGAGATAAATTACCTTACTAGTGGTGAAAAATTTATTAAAAACGACCTAGTACTTTTTCCAATACATACAAAAATACAAATCTTTCCTCTTTATACTATTAGTATAGATATGAAGTACACTTATCTAGACAAAGTTTTAATAGCGTTAAATATTTGTATTATTTAATAACACCATTTTGTTACAAAACGTGTTATGTGTACGTTATTTTCAGGAAGTGTATAAAATAATGTAATGTGTTGACTCGACTGTATATAAAAATACAGTGAATGTTGGAATGAAATTTGTGTCCCGGGCGTAAATGTCAACGTCTGCTCTGCGTATGATTGATCAATGGCTGGTTTCGAGCTATAAAACAAAAACGAATGTGATATATACCCAATAAAAATCTAATATTCGCATCAGCAACAGCGAAGTTATATACACTGTCAAACCATAACATTGGAGTATTAAAATAAAACACATTAAGTCCGTAACACACCTTCAGTTTTAGCTCTACAGTTCAAATTGTACAGTTCGACGGTTCAGTATGTATTAAGCATAATTTTGAAAGTAATTGATTTTCTTTTTTTTCATGTCCTTAAATCGATAATTTCGAATAATAAAGGTAAAGCGGAAAACTTTGTTTGATTGTAATGAAATAATTTAAAAACTACCGGGCCGATTTCAAAAATTATTTCACCATTCAAAAGCTACATTATTAATGAGTAGGATAGGCTATGTTTTATATTATTTTTTACTTTCATGCGGACGGAGTCGCGGGCAAGCTACTTGTCAATAAATTTGTGGTTAACAGATCAATCAAAAACATAATCTGCATAAACATGCCTTTCTTTTATATTTCTTTATATAACTTATCATGTAAATGCTTCTTTAAAAATGTATGATACTCAATATATTGGATAATTTAAAAAAAATATTTAACATAATTGTTTCTTCTAGGATATAGCAGTGACGCAGAACATGACTTCTGGAATAATTCTAAGCACTCGGTCTCTGGTACTGCAGAAGGTAACTCGACGGGAAGCGGGAAGGTACGCCTGTAAAGCTGCCAACATCAGAGGTGAAACATCCAGTGAAGCTGTCATACTGAGAGTTCAATGTAAGTCTAACTTTGTCAATGATGCTAACCTCTTAAACGGCTGATTTCCGAAACGAATCTCAAACGCTTTGCTTACAATCTGTTAGACGTCAAAAGTTTAACGAAAATTCGAATTTAATCAAGTCCTTATCATTTAATATTCTATTACATAAAAGTCGTTTGAATATTTGCACGAAAGCCTGTTAGTAATTATTTTAAAATGATTTTAGTAACCAGTGGGTTAACTAATTATTTCCTTAAATAGCGGTCTAATTATACGGTAGCAATTTGTCGACATCTTATCAATCTTTAAAATCTTTTATGTTTCAATTTGTAACAAAACGTTTTCCACAAACCGTACATTATAAAACAAATTTCGTTTAATGTACCAGGTAAAGATGATATGCAAGTATTGTGGGTACAGTCGGGTAATTTGACGCTGTTCCACTTTAAAATCTACAGAGACGACGACACAGAGCAATAACCAATAGAACGCAGCTTTTTAATATGTCTGTACCATGTTCTTTTATTATTAATCTGTCGTTTTCAGAACTAACTACCTGATTGGTTATTTATAAGAAGCGGAGTTTATTTTGTTGTTAGAATTAAGACGATATTTCTGTAAATGGAACACCGAGGATGTTCACGACTGTACGTATATTTGGTATTCGACTAAAATTACCGTATAAAATCCTCATTCAGTAGGAAGTGAGAAACGCACAAGTGCTTACAACACTTAATTATTCATTCCTGTATAACAAACGTCGGATACACAGACATGAATTGGAACAATAAAATGTCACTATACGGTTGGCAGAGAATGAGTTACAGCGCTATAAATATCCTTATATCTGCGAGTGTATTCAAATGATTGCGGTACGGATCGACGTACCCGCTTCCTTCCGCGGACTGGCCGTCGAGTAATTGCCGAGGAAGGCAGTAACTGTTGTAAATCATCGAAATTATTACCTAATATTACGGCGACTCGCCACGAACCTTAGCAATCTGTTGTTTTGTGGGTACACATTAATTCATAGCTTTGTTTTAGTTTGAGGCTGAATAAATTTACTTTGTTTGGTAGGAATATATTCGCAATTATGTGTTGTTAAATAATGTCTTATGAATATAGTAAATAGAGTAATTTAATTTATATTTATATAATTATAAATTAAAAATGGAAGTTTTATTTTTGTCATACGATTTTAATGTAAAGAAAATACATGGAAGTAAAGTTATATAACGCATATAACTCAAACCAATGCTAAAAGTTAGGTTGTTAAATTCCTTATTGTTTTAAATTGAGTATGAACATATACTTTTAACTCAGTATTAATTGACTACGCATGATTAAGTAATAAAGATTGACATTTTTGAAATGTCAAATAATCCTTTTTAAAGACCAAAAAACGTTATTCGCGTGTAATATTTTTTAATATTTGCATGCATGAAATTTTTTATACGCACTCTCCCCGCTCCGAACTTAATAGCAGTGGCGAATGGAGAAAATAAAATTCATCGTAGTCGATATCAAATTGCGTTTCGGTGCTTGAAAATATTTTTGTCAAAGCAATACATGTCACATACGTCACAAAGACCTTTGTTAAAAAATATATATTTTCTGACATACGGTTTGTTTTGATATCGTAAAGTTTTTGAAACTGTAATAAAGAAAACTAACATCTTATTTAGAAAACAATTTTAACAGCTAATCGTATTAATGTAGCCCTAAGTATGGAATCAGACCAGTTTCGGGCATAACAAAGGTCTTAAATATGAATGAATTTAATTTTCACCTGTGGCCCTCCTCGCACTAATATTTCAATCTATTTTGAATATAACAATTCCAAATTCAAAATAATCTTTTATCCTCAACGCAGCAGTAGATATAAGGCTAAACTCACGTTGTATTATAAACTACGTTTAGTTTGAAGATGAATCGTATCTAAATAAATAGTTTAAACTTTCGTGAAAACTAATCCAATTAAGGACAGCACAATTAAAGATATTCCGGTGACGTCACCGATTAGTTTTGGATCCAGCGAGAGTTCATATCCATGAGTGATATCAACATGAGTCATATCTATCATGCTATAATACAATAGAACATTCCAGACGCACCAGTGTGCAGTGACTTGAGTCCACAAGTGGTGGGCGCGGCGCTAGACGAGGCGCTGCACGTTAGATGCTCAGTGCACGCTGACCCTGCTGACGTCACCTTCTTATGGCAATTCAATAACAGTGGAGAAAGTTTTAACGTTTCTCCAGCACGATTTGGTAAGTACGAGTAAAACAATTGGTTTACGATTAGAAAGAGAGGGAAAATATAAACTAGCTTAGGGGTGAGTGAGTTGATTGGTTGTACACTAACTGTACTACAATAGTACCCCGCTTTACGTGAGCGATATGCTCCAAAAATTGCGTTAACTGAAATACATATCGTTTAAATCAATCACTTTAATTCTCAGAACACTTTATGCAATACATACTCTTATTTTTTACGGAAAAATACATCTATTGTCTTTTAGGTAACGTTTTGTTTACGTTCTTGTAAAATACGTTCATAACATTCAATACTGTTTTTAATTGTTTAACACATGGTCAAGCCATGATCCCGCGACCATAGAGAAGTTAATGACTACATTATGTTTATACGCACTCTTTCGCGCAATGCGAGATATTTGAGCGCGAAATTTGAAATTCGCGTTATAGTGAAACCGCGCGTTACCGGGTAGCACTAAGCGTGTATGCGAAATGTTAAGTATCTGATCCCCACCTTTACGCTACCAATTCCATAAGAAAATTAATACTCGTTACAGAAAGTTAATATTATACTGTTTATTAAATAAACACGGTGGCCATTTCCATTTTGTTAAATACCTAGCAAGATTTCAATTTGTTTTTTTTTTTTTATTTTTTAATAAAAGATATGGTGTTTATTCAATTACATTTATACAGTGAAAGGACAAAGCTGATTGTAGGGGAAAATATTAAATTATATATCTCTCGATCAAATTATCGCTTTTCTCCGTATCGAAAATGTGTCAATCATAAGAAAGACTCTAAGAAACCGTTTCTATTTTATTTCTTTCAATTTATAAAAATGATATTTATTCAGATGAATAAAAGTACACGTCTTTAGCGGTCACTTCACTTTTTTAGCAAGTAATCGCTTGCTTCTACTGTGTATTATAAAAATATTGCCTTTTTCTCATAGGCGTTATAAACGGAAGCACCAGTGAACTTCGTTACACGCCTGCAAGCGAACGCGACTACGGCGCTTTAACGTGTCGCGGCACGAACACGGTCGGTCGACAGTTACAACCATGTGTTTTCCAAATTGTTCCCGCTGGTAAGTTGCTAAAAATAATTAAATAACTATTACAAATTTTAATTTGAAAACAACTGATTACTTAATCGTAGCATTGGCGTAACACTATCAAAGTCGTAGCACATGCGTAGTAGTTTCGTAGCATAGATGTAGAACTGGCGTAGCGTTGATGTAGCGATCGTAGATTAGTATTGTAGCTTAATAATTGATTAATTGGTTTCAAATGACATAAATAATTTAAGATATTGAAAAACAAACTTAATGTCGACTTGTTTCATAGCTTTTAGTTTTTCCGCAACCAAAAGTTCTCCAACTTCGTTAAGTATTAATATTTCGACTTTTTCGCTAACATTTAACATCTCTTGTAAGTAGTTGCAAAGTATTGACGACAATTCATAAGTTTCTTCTCGTGTTATAATTCTTAAGGACTTTGCTACTTAAATTTAAAGTAGACAGCACAAAACATTTTTTTTTATAACTTAACACGAAAAAAAATCAATAGTAAAGTTTGTATACAATAAGAAAGTTTGTATTCAATGTAATGCTTATTTAGCCAACGACTTCTCATAATATAAACCTAACAAAACAATCTATTTAGCTCGACCGTCGCCGCCACGAAACTGCACAGTACTGGCCAGCAACGATTCTAATTGGATCGAGGAAACGTTTAAGGATGATATTGAGGATTACATAGTAATCCGCTGCGTCGCCGGATACGACGGGGGCTTGCCGCAGCTCGTGGTATTGGAGGCTTTGGACCCCAACACAGCCTCTATTAGATTTAACATTACTGCAAACGAAACGAGTGAGTAATACAGCTAAATGTTTTATTCAATTGTAAGTGATCGTTTTCGATGTCGTACTCAAAAGTTATTTGCCACTTTTTACGCTATTATTCAATTGTTTATTTGAATGTTGTTCTCTTTTTGAATTTACGAAACACTTGTAATTTACGAAGTAATGTAACACAAACCTTATTAGATGCACAAGAAATAGCCAACGTAATTTTGGCGATAAGATTTATAACCCCGCTTTAAGATTGAACGTGTAGTTACGAGTGTAATAACATAATAATTTCTGAGATTACAATTAACTTTCTTCAACTTTAGATGGCGTGGCTGTATTCCTAATTCCCGTGGGATTATTATGGGTGAATAACGCGGCTTTGAGGCTTACTGTGTATTCTAGAAATGACAAGGGAATCTCCGAGAAGATCGTCCTTAGTGCCCTCGCGTATCAGGACCCTGAGCGACGGACAGGTATTAACATTTACAAGGTTTTTTAACCGAATTGCAGAGAAAGCGTGGAATGTTTATTTTGTGTTTTTGTGACTTTTAAAAAGATTTAAAGTGTTAACTATTAAAAAAGTTACTCAACAGCTTCTTATTCTATTTTATTAGACAGCAAACAACAATATGCTTTGAGTTACAACGAGTCAATTGTATGTTTGAGTATAGTTTTTTTGTTTAATTTAAAAAAAACGCCGTACGGTCAGTTCGTTAACTACGATGTTTATATTCGTATTGGTACTTAGTTAAATATTTTTTACATAGATGGTAATCACAGTCTCATGGCTGGAGTTTCGAGGGCAGCTTTCTGGGCGGTGATTCTCACTACAGTCGTATGCACAATGACAGCGGTCACAACGGGGCTATTCCTGAGAAGAAAACGGTAAAAATCTACAACTTTTATTGTTCTTTAAACTCTGTGGATCTTCAAATGTCAATGGTAAACATGTGCAAATTTCTAGTGAAAACATAATGAACGAAATCTTAAATTCATTTTAATTTGTAGACGTCGTTCAACCTCTAAACCACAATCGTCACATCTGCAGTTGAACTCTGGAGATGGACAATACGTTGTGGCATTTACGTTGAAATCTAGACCTAAGCAAAGCCAACCTGATATATTAAACCCTCCGGCAGGTAAGAGAATGTTTCAAAGACCATAACTAATAACTCCTAAGTATAATTATGGTATTACGATTAAGTCATTAGCTACAGAAACTTCACAAGCTGTACATACTACAGATTAAAAATATCTTATCGAATGTATATTTTTGAAATTGATTAAAAACCAGTTGAAAACATAAATCTATTTTATATTTATTTCATTGGAACTTTTCACACAACTTGAATCCATGGGGTACAGGCAATAAAGCTAACCAAATTTCGTTCGGTCTCCCAAAGGACTCATTACAAAGAGAATTGTGTAAAGCGTTGAGAGTGGGCTATGAACTGAAATACATTTAAACTTTATTGACATATGTTTTGTTTGCTTGAATATTTTGTTGTGTGGTTCACAGGATTTAAAGTTAGGGACTGAAACATTACAAATTTTACTTGACACTTACATGAACTTTTTACTGAATCCCAATTCTATTTATATACATATTACACTTTACATGCATTTTACTTGTTAATAGATTTACTAAAAATCACAATGTACTATTATATATTCGAAAGTTTTAGATGGATGGATGGATGTTTGCAAGTGTTTGTAGCCTAAACGGCTGAAAGGATCTAGATGAAATTTAGCATATACTCGTATATTATACATAGTCTGGAAGAACACATAGGCTATTTGCTTTTGGTTTTTTGAATTCCACGCCGACAGAGTTGCGTACTTAAGATAGTATTTATATAAAAGTAAAGAAGATACTTAATTTTTTAGATCCCGGAAGCTCATCAACTGAGAAGTGTGAAATAGAAGTAGCTGTCAAAAATGGCGGGCTCAGTGTAAGCGAGGAGTGGGCAATGAGTGAGCGCGACTCGCTAACAGCTAACCAAGAACCACTTAAACCGGTTAGTTTTTACGTTCTTAATTTTATTACTAAAATAATATTTAGTGGTAAAATTTACATCCACACAGTCTTAATAACATGATTAAAAGAAAATTAACCGCTAATTTTTCTATCGAATGACTTTCATCAACATAAGTTGTATTTTTAAACCAGTACTTTGGATATGCCATAATCTAATATAATGCAACACGTTCTAATTTTAAATCATATACGCTTGTAACACTAGACTGTTCTACACAGAGAGATCAAATATTGAACGTAATAACTACCATAAAATACGAATAACTTTTCCTACACAGGAACATTTGTTAGGTCTAAAATATATGTAAAAAATGTATGAACTTGTTTTTTTTCTTCATCAGGTAATATCATCACCTCGAGCCTCGATATCAAGTAAACAGCAAGTAACAATAAACACAATGTCGTTAAGTAAAAGAGGTCATCTTATACCAGAAGAAATACCAGGTCCAGAGAGTTGTGTATAGAAAATTGTATAGGAAATTTTGTATTTACTAACTGTGTATTGACTGTGAAAATTGTGATAAAAATATTGTAAATATTTGCTAATTTAAAATAAAAGATAATTATGACTCACTTAAGCTTTTTATTGTATTTTTCCCAAATGTACTCAATAAATCCAATGGTATATCTTAAAGTGCCTAAAATGGCTATTTACATTAGGAATAAAGACGACAAGTCTTTCTAACACAAGTAATAATATAGTAAACTATTCACACATACAACGAGATGATCGTAATCTTATAAATTACAATTAAGTAACTATTATCATTAAATATTATATGAAAATGGGTAAGACGAACTACATTATTCATCACATTTAAATTAATTCTGGGTTTTAACGTTAAGGTAACATTAAATGTCGGTAAATTAATATTATTAATTAACACACTACACACACTATGTTTAACTGTAAATCATTCACATATCGGTCATATATTGTACAAAAGTTTTTATCCTATTAATATTACGATTGTAAATGCGAAAGTTTAGATGTATGGATGTTTGATAGAATTTGTAGCCTAAACTAATGAACGGATCTATTAAATTTGGCTTATATGTAGAAGATTGTCAGAAAAAACACATAGGGTACTAACTTTTGTTTTTTTTTTCATATAGAAAGCTAGTGTTTTTGAAAACCTATTAAATATTTAGAGAAACACTTATCAAATGAATAGTAAGTAAATCCACACTCTAGAACCAACAATTAAAACGATTGTAATAAAATATAATTCTGCGTAACATGTTGGGAAAATACTATGTAAGAAATTTCGTGAATTCGCATATTGAAGTAAATTCTAAATTACAAAGATAAAATGCTATAAAAGAGAATGTGTCTTTATTTAAGTTTAAGATGGTCTGACGTAAAAAGTCTAAGTATTTCTTTCTGCGGACTGTTGAGAACGAGTATGAAATTCCCAAGCGTGAGCTCGTTTAGCTCGTAATTTTTCATTGAGCCTGAGAGTCGGCAGGAAAGCCTCCAATTAAGTTTCTCTTTACCGTTTGCCCCGGGAAAAAGGGAAGAAAAATGAGCGACCGAGGAAAAGGACAATCCAACGTTATAAGTCTGCTTTTGGCATAAATTTAAGTATACTTTATATTATACTTTGAATATGAAATAGATTTAATGAGGTATACGAAACTTATAAAATTAAGTCACAGTTTATCAATATTTAAAAGCTGTAAAATGGTCTTTATAGAGTTATTTTCATTGAATATTCTCAGATTTACATTTCAAATAAATCTGACGCGAAGAAAATCCACAGATTTCATTATCACGGAAATAAATTCTGAATATAAAGGAAATAATGATTTAATCATTCAAGAGAGGAACATCAAAGGAAAATTATATGAAAGTTGGCCAACTGTGAAAACCGTTAAAATTAGGTGTCGCCGTAAAGAATAAGTATGTCTCCAGAATCGAACGTTGAGTAAGAAAATGACTGGGGAAGTGTATTTCACGGGCCACAAACTTCCCCGTGAAAACAATCGTAAAACGCTTTTATTACTCTAACATTCGCCATTGATTCACGGTCTGAAACAATAAAAATACTGACTCAATCAACCCACCAAATTTTACGAGCTTTATAGGTGAGTGGATTTATTGTTCCAAATGGAATAAAATAATGTTTCATTTACACCTCAATGTAAAATAACGCTTTGCGGCGTAAATAAGTCTATCTCATGATTAATTTTATTACAGTCTCAGAAATTGTCATTAATTTTATTCATCAGCATAATTACACATAATTTACTAACATTATGTGCGCAATGGGCGTCGGTGGCTCAGTGGTTTAAGCACTTGACTTGTAATCTACAGGTCTTGGGTTCGAATCGCGCCATGTACCAATGTGATTTTCCTTTTTTTCGAATTTTCTTATGTACATAATTTACCCGACGTTCTTACGGTGAAGGAAAACATCGTGATGCAACCTGCATATATCGGCGAAGAAATTCAAAGATATGTGTGAAGTCAACCAACCCGCAGTGGGCCAGCGTGGTTGACTATGGCCTAGTCACCCTGACTTAGGGTAGGCTCCGAGCCACTCAATGGGGACGTATAGTGAGCTGGTGATGATAATTATTATTATGAGTGATTATTACTCATGTGATAAACAACATTAATAACAAATTATACGAGCAGTACCAGGATCTAGTACAGTAACGGTTTCTAAGAAATATTACATTGTTAAAAACCTAATCAACATTCGCACATTGATTTTAAGGTAATATTTTTTTTTTGCTATCGGGGAGCAGTTTTCAAAAGATACCCAGCCTTCTGGAGAAACACAGGGTCACTAAATCCCCTTCGGTTGCCATCGTACAGTACGACTCTAGAAATTCCCGAGGTCTCCAAAGAAACGCACCTGTATTCTCTGTACTAGGCTTCAGCATAGCCCAGGGGAGGCGGAACGTCGACAATTCAGGAGGGTAAGGTAATACTTAATGACACAAATCTATACTAATCTGTCTATCCTCTATACTTATGTAATAAATCGTAAACATACACTATTTCGTGGCGTAGGATGTCAGCAACCACAGCATATTTCTGAATATTTCTTTCTTTAATAAAAAGCCCTACACTTACGACACGATTTAGGTTATATTTTCACTCCATTATACTTAGGGATAAACAATTTGAAAAAAGACTTCATGTGGGAAAGGGACCATAAACGACAAGCTGACAACATCAAGGAAGCAAGGTTGCTATAGTAACGGTATTTGTTATCCCTCGTTTTTTTTACATTTAAATTTTGACATTTACAAATGAGCATTTGACAAATGTACACGATAAGGTAAAGTTTTTATGATTTCATGCGGATGAAGCCGCACGGGAACAGCTCGTAATGAAATAAAACTAAAGCAAATGTGAAAAGAAATTGTCCCAGCGAATAAAGCAGTAAGTACCGTCGTGCGCCAAAGGTAGCAATGGGATGATAAATCTTCATTTGCCTTGTTCGCACATCCGACCCGCCCTTCCCAATTAGTTAACCCGCCTGACATTACGGTCTACATACACGGTAGGATTTCCGCTGCGGTCACCTATATTTTGCTCTTACGTAGGTCTTACAATTGGACAGGTTTTGTCGATTTGTAGAAAAGGTAAAGCCTTATCTCCACATACTATAGTCAAATAATATTTAATTTACTTTTATGTAGATTTTTTAAGCGAAATCATGTTAGTCTTTGATGTTAAAAACAGATAAGAGGTCTCTAATTTATTATTAAGAGATATTTTCTGTACGGTATAGATTTTTACACAACATGCTACGTCACTATTTACGACCGAACTTTTTCTTCGTATTTAAGCAAACTCAATTCAACCAAACAAAAAATAAGCACTTTGTGCGGTCTATAAGATGCCAAAAAGGGGTATATCGATCCTTAATGACATCCATTTCTATGCTAATGAGATTTGCCCAATGAATGAGGCCACAGTGGAGTAGGAAAGACTTCATGAATTTACTTTTCCGTTCCAATTTAAGCAGCTCTTTGTTAAAACATTTCGTTGATTCGCTTGCTTTTGAAAACTCACTGGAAAAATATTACAATTAAAATATGTATTTCTAGCGAAGAAATGCGACTGTTTTACTTTTATAATGTATTTTTTGTTATTTTTAGTTAGTAACTACACTTTTAATAACTGAGCATAATGGATTAATTCTAATGTAATTTCTCTTCTATATTATAATAAAAATATGCGTTAAATGGTTAAAAATGTTTTCAAAACCAATTCAATGATTTTTCAAAGTAAATTACCTCCAATAATAAGTTTCAATTTTAAGAATAATAAATGTCTTTTGTAAAATAAAAAAACACAAGTGCAAAATATCTTTTCATACCTATTTAATAGCTGAAGCTTATTTCATACAATACCATCACTAAACATTTACTTTGAAGTGTAATAAAAATCGTCTTAGCGACGTGTGAGGGAGTATGAAAAATATCAAGCGACTATTTTTTTTTTTTCTTATAAAAAGTCACCTTTACAACACTTGGGGTTCTTAAACTTTTCGTAAAATTCATAAAGCTTCAGACACAGAGAGCAAACTCGTTTTGAACACGGGCGATGTTTTATTTCATGTTACAGTAAACACCCTCAAAGTCAATTTACAAGCGAGCAAATAAAACGAAGAAAGTTCGAATGGTTAAATACGTTGTATGAGAAGCTTTAATGTGTTTGAAAATATGAGTATGTTACAGATATTTTAAATATGAATAATTTAATTGAATTAATTGTTACGATAACGACTTGACTAATTTAAAATGTGGAGATGATAGAGTAGATGTAAATAGACCCTTGATGAATAAATAACGACAATAAACGCGAAATTCCAGTCAATTAAAACAATATTCACTCTTTCTGTATTGATCTCATTTTGTTTATTTTTATTTGTTTTAAACCGTGAAGATTAAACTTATTTAAGTGTGTTTATATGACATCTACATGAAGTTAAAACTAAACATTTTTGGTAATCCACATTTCGTACAATTTTCATGATATTTTCATCGTATACCCAAATAACTGTATTATACATAAAGCTTGCATTTTGGAAATTGGCAAATGGCCAAGAGTTTATCCTTAGGCTTGGTGAAATATTTGTTTCTCACGTACCTTATGGCTTTCGGAGGATCAGAAAACTTTTGCAATATGCTCGCCATGTTATTTTATCGAATGAAGACAGGAGATTATAAAAACATTAGTGTAGTTACACCACAGTTTTAATAGCCAATTCAGGTTATACACTTTACTGCAGTTTGTTATCTAATAGTAAAAAACATAAAATAAATAAACTAAAAAATCTTTTTAAAATTATAAATGCGAAAGTTTAGATGGATGGATGTTTTTAGAGTTTGTAGCCTTAACGGCTTAACGAATTTCGATGAAACTTGGCATAGATTTAGAGGATGGTCTGGAAGAACACATAAGCACCTTACTTTTTTTTAATTCTATGCAGCCGGTGTCGCGGGGGAAGGCTAGTTAATTGATAATTTT